TTTTCAGTCTAACATAACCTAAATAACCACAGAACATAAATGTTTTAATTATATTGAATTGGAAAAATCCAAAAATTAATTAAATTACTTTAGGAAATAATGTGTTTTTTTAATTAAAGCATGAGATGAAAATAAAATTTGAAATGACCTATTGGTCTGAAGTAATGCACTTCTGTATTTCGTTGACATGTAGACTACTTCTGCTATCTGCAAGATTAAAAAGTGCGGGTTAGTTAAATATACATTGCACTTTTTGCATGATATATATACAATTAAAAGTTTATGACAATTGTAATAGAACTCTTCTACATATGTATGCTATTGTATTTTGTGGCATATCGAACGAACTCTCTACCTAAATATTTTTAATGTTATTTTTTTTTAGTACACTCTTGGGATGCTCAGCAATTTTTGTGGCAGTCAGCACAACAACAACAATCCACAATAAATTAAAAATAAAAGATAATCATGCAAGAAAGACATAAGATTTCAATAGCATAATCTATCTTATGGGGGACCTTTGGATTTGGAAAGACATTTCCGTTCGATTGCCCAACAAAGATAAATACAATTTAAATTAACTTTAATGTCCTAGACGAACGATGAAATCTTCGTATCTTCGTATTTGGATGGCACTTCAATGCTTTATAAAATAATTTTGATAACCTGCAAGCACCACTTTAGGACAAATTAAATATTCAAAAGCTGCAGGAACAGAGACGTGGTCCCTTTAAAAAGTACCAAATATTGTATTCTTATCAAATGTCCTTTTGTTAGTGAGTGTGTGTAAGTATATTTGTATGTAGGTGGTGATATCCAGCCAGCTCTTGTGTTTTGGCGCGAAAACGCAATTTCAATGGTTAGGGGGGGATTCTATGGCTGGTAGTGTGTTACACACTAGTCAAACCCCTGCTTGGCTTATATTGTACGTGTGTTAGATCGGAATGGAATTTAAGTAAAATTATCGCTTGAATGTTTCTTCGTTTTTTCCTCTTCTTCTGTCTTTTCTTCTTCTTTGCTGTTGATAATGGGTGGGTCTTAGGGAGATGTCAAACGTAAAAATGCAATTGAAATTTCAAAGAATTTATTTTCGTTCGTTATGTCATTTGTTGTTGGCATTGTTATTGTTTTTAAGCTTTTGATGTTAAAACCTGACATAAATTCTTCTTTGCCTTTTAACAAAGACACAATAAGAGAGTGAGAGCTGGTGCACACAAACATTGATGCTAGCTCACAAAAATACAGGCACAACACACACGCACGCACTCACATTTAACTGAATTTATTTGAAAGTCTTAGTTCGAGGAATCTTGTATCAGAAACGTTGATACCAAGTCGAAACGAAATTACAGGGGAGTAGACTCCTTATATGAGTCCTGCCTTACATACATAATTGTGTCTTAACGGGGGAGAGGTGCTTACGTGTGTATGAGAGTGTGTGTGTGTGTCAGAGTGGGAATGGAGCAATTTTGTATGCTTGTTAAGCGTGAAATTTGTTAAAAATTTGCAGTATCAGCATCTTGAAGAATTTAGCTTTCTTTGCTATTTTTGATTGTTTTCAAAACAGAAACGGCCTCACCCCATCACCGCAAAAACATGGGAGGCAGCAGCAGCGCAAAAATACCAATGAAAGGTTCAATGGTCTGTCGGTCGGTCGATTGTTCTCCATCGATTCGAATACAAGTTGACGTGTCTGTGTGTGGTTTCTTGGTACATTTACAGGATATGGTCAGTGAATTGTAACCGTTGAAAATTAATCAAAATAATTGATTTTAAAAGAATATATATATTCGAAATTCAAATTCAAAAATTAAAACATATATTACTATAAGGATCATATGACACATATGATATAATAGTGCCGTAGATTTCTCATATGAATTATAAGGAAACATGAGAAAATAAAATTGAGGGAACATTTTCATATTCGATATCAGACAAGACAAAGTTTGAATGTAACTGTCTGGAATTTGGAATTTAATGTTCGTAATAGCAAGCAATCCTTCTGGCAAAAAATTGTCTATATAGGACCACATTGTTATAAATCCTGCAAATAAGTGTATCTCCTGATATTCGATATTCGTATGATTCAAGTCAGATTTAACTGGCATTGCCTAAAGCTTGGCGCAATTATTTCGAAATGGATTTTAATTGGTAGCAAATATTCCACAATAGCCAGGAATTCTTAAAAAACAAGAATCTTTTTGCAATGATTGAGGATGTATTGGAGATATATTTTTGCTCCACAGAAACTATAAATAACATTTGTATACCAAGTCTTCATAAGATAAGCTGTTTTCCCTAAGGATGGAGGGTATCAAAAATTATGCCCCGCTAGATCTAAATGCTTGTTTTCCTCTTTTTTAACAAAAAGAATTTCCACATTTCGAATTTACCGCATTTGAAGTTGTTCACTTTCTCTGGTAGTACTGTAAAACGACAACCATTATTAGGAATAGCCAGTGTGTGTAGAATTTCTCAGTTGGATTTCTATCGCTGTTGTAATTTGCCGATCGACACATTGACCCACATCGACAAGTGTGGTAGGCCATTGGTCGATACACTTACTGGATGACTGCCATGGGTGAAATGGGCTATTAACTAATTCATACAAACATAAAGATATGCGTATCTGACGGATATTGTGGCAGCAACTGTTTGCTGTGGCCACAAAAAAAAATCCCAAATTTCCTGAAATTCTGTATGTGTATCATACGCAAAGGATAAATACATACATACATATACATGTTATATATATTTTTTCTGTGCACAATTATGAATTAGCTTTGTTGTGTCTCGATGTGTGTGTGCGTGCCATCGTAGATATGAAACATTTTAACAATCGATTTTGATTTGCTTGCAAAGTTGCAAAAAACTTTCCATATTTTTCTCATTTCTATAACCTAAAAATATTTCCTCTCGGCTTTGCTTCTAATTTGGCGAGGGTGAGATTTTGGTTTTGTGGTGATTTGCAGGAAAGAACCCAATTTTGTCCCTCTATCGAGTAATATTGAACATATTGTTTGTATATTTCCGTCACAACCCTCTAAATTCACATCACAAGCACGGCAATCAAAAGAAAGGAAAAGTTACAATAATATTTTTTATTGCCCATGGCAAAGTCATTGTAATCATAATATGATTAAGACTTTAATATTTTATATTAGGTTGATGAGATTTCATTTCATATATATGTTTTTTGTTTTTGTTGTGGTTGTTGTTGTTGTTGTGTTTTGGTTTGACAGCCGCCCCATATCATTTAACCGCAAGTGAAATCGTTACCAAGGCTAATTTGTCAATGTGGTTGTGAAGTTTGGCGAGGGAGTAAGGGAGGCAGGATAAGAAGTAATAGAACTAAAGGTAAGGTCACATTGAGCAAATATTTGACACAAATATGTTTTATCATATTTTCCCAAAAAAATGTTGTTTTCATACAGAGTTGATTTTGTGTTCACATTGCTCACATTTATTTGACAAATTTTGTTTGTTCAAACACCCATCAAATAGTGGCAAATAAAGCAATGACAAAACAGGTTTGACGTGCGGTCACATTTGAAAAATATATTTGATTAAAAAGCAGTTTGATCAAACTATCAAAAAACAAAAAATTGTTTGGTCGAAATATTTAAAAGAAGCTATGCAGCAGGAAGAGGCGCTTTTTATTTTATGTTGTGGTGCAGCATCATATATTGCTGTCAAAGAGGACGAATCCATGAAAAATAGAAAGAAAAGACCATGGGTTCGAGAATGGTTGCGTCAAAGAAAGGAGGAAGGATGTTGCGTCAAATTGCTGACTCAACTGCGGGCTGAAACACCATCGCTCTATAAAAATTTCTTGAGGATGAACGCGGCAGATTTTGACAATTTGGTGAGTTTGCGTATAATTGAGATGAAATCTATAATGTTTCTATCATGGACCCCTTAATAGCTTAAATTAACTGCACCACTTTTAACCAAGAAGACGACACAATTACGTGAGCCGATTTCAGCTTCAGAACGGTTAATGGTTACACTGCGATACTTGGCAACAGGCGAGAGTTTCCGTTCTCTGCAATTCATATTCCGTATACCTCACAACACTATTTCAACTATCATTCCTGAGGTTTGCGATGCTATTTATAAGGTTCTACAGCCTGATTATTTAAAGGTAAACTATTAACTACAGCGTAAGTTCGGTCTGGCCGAACTTACAAACGGAATTACAAAGTTAATATAGCTTCCATAGTATAATTGATAAATTTGTATTGCTTATACAGACCCCATCAACGGAAACAGAATGGCTAGCAGTATCGGAAAAATTTTATGAGAAGTGGAATTTCCCAAACTGTATTGGGTCTATAGACGGCAAACATGTCGTTATGACAGCGCCTTCTCATTCCGGAAGCATTTACTTCAACTATAAAGGCAAGTTTATTACTTTACCTATATTGTAATCAATTATTATTATTTTAATTTGTTATAGGAACTCACAGCATTGTACTCATGGCTATTGCAGATGCTTCCTACAAATTTTTATATATTGATGTTGGGTCCAATGGAAGAATATCAGATGGTGGAGTTTTCCGAAAAACGTCATTTAATAAAGGTCTGGTTAACGAAAAACTAAATTTACCACCACCAGAACCATTGCCAGGCAGAACAGTTTCAGTTCCTTATGTTCTTGTTGCGGATGATGCATTCGCTATGACACCCAATATATTAAAACCTTTCAGTGTCCGCAATATGAATGCAATTCAGAGAATTTTTAACTATCGTTTGTCTAGAGCTAGACGAGTTATAGAAAACGCATTTGGAATTCTGTCTGCCCGCTTTCGTGTACTACGAACCCCAATAAAGGTTGATCCACCAAAAGCAATAAAAATTACTACTGCCTGTTGTGTGTTGCATAACTACCTGATGTGCCGCAATAATTCGATATACTTCAACCCAAATCTAGTGGACCACTATACACAAGATGGAACACTAGTACTAGGTGAATGGCGCAGTGAACGGGCCTCTGATAGTCTTATAAATCTACAACCTCATCGGTCTTATATTGCACCTAATTGTTCTACTGTAAGGGACGAGTTTTCCCAATATTTTGTAGAAGAAGGCGAAGTTCCCTTCCAATACAAACATATATAAAAGTTTAAATAAAATGATATAAAACAATTTAATTGTAAAGATTTTATTTACAAGCTTTTAAAACAAATGAGATCCATAAAACAGAAAAATAAAAAAAATTCATTAATTATTTTAAAAATTAATTAAGTGATAAGTCAGTCATATAATAAAAAGAAAATAGGGATGTTTTAACACTCAAATAAATGATTGCTTCTCTCCTCTTCCAAACATTGTAAAAAAAACAATGTAACTTTATTTCTAACTGAAGCAGATCCACTGTCACTGAGTGTCTTCAGCTCACTTAGGAGATAGTTTGCGAATGACGTGTTGGGATCCAAGCTGTTTTGGTTGCGTTCTTTCATTGCAGCAACTGCCTCCCGCATAGTCTCCGCAATTTGTGTTGTTGCAGATTGCACAGTTGGAGCCTGTAACCGCCGTGGTGTTGATGTTGGTGGTGGCGTTGGCAAAGATGGCGATGCACAAACATCAAAAGCTGTAGAAATATTGAATTGAAATATTAACAAGGTAGAGATTTTAATATATATATACAAATACGGAGCAAGGCGAGCGTAGGGGCTAAGCTCGGATTGACCTAAACAAAATGGTTATTATTTGAAAGCTTTTGGAATTACCTATCCAAAAAGTGGTCGGTGTTGTTGGAACCGGTTCCGGAGTAATACAAGAAAAATTGTATTTTAGTACCATTACTTTTTGAAAATTCTCTGAAAACTTGAAAATGGACTCCATATGGGGTATAAAGATGTCCATACTACATTATGCATTGGTATAGTATAATGAAGCATGGACATTTTTATACCCCATATGGAGTCCATTATCGAGTGTTCAGAGATTTTTCAAAAAGTACTGGTACAAAAATACAATTTTACTTGTATTGCTCCGGAACCGGTTCCAACAGCCCCATCATACGACCCATTTTGTTAACCTCTAAACTCGCCTTATACCACGAATACTTACAATTACTTTCTGAATCTATTTCTATTAATAGGTTTGAAATTGTGTCTTGCGTCTGAGCCTCTTCATTTCGTCCTACAAACTTCATGACATTAAAAAATCTCCATTTAGGTGGTTCAATTGCGCCTTGTCCCGACTTTGTTTTGGACCTGGCCGCATATCCTCGATACTGTATCCTCAAGTTTGTCCACTTTGCGGTGAGATCTGCAGGGGTATATTTATCATCAAATTGTTCGGAAATGTGCCGCCATGCGTTGTCGCGGAGTATTTTGTTGTGGTATCCATCACATCCCGCATTCCACAGACAACTTTGTTCCTCCACTAGAGCAATGAGCTTAAAAATATCTTCCTCTGCCCACTCCTTTGCAACCTTTGGCTTTCCCCGAGATTTCTTCTGCGGCACTTCATATTCCATTTCCATTTTATTTATTCTTTTTTTTAGAATCACTTCTCACTTTAACTTTTAATTTTTCCTTTTTGTAGGTAAACGTTTATCTGCACAGCTGTTTTGCATGTCAATGTTGTCAATGTCGTATTTGAAATAAAAACGCTTTTAGCGATCAACGTCTTTTGGGATTTTAATATACAACTTTTCAGTTGTAAATCGAATAATTTTGGTTTTAATTGGTAACATTCCATTTGTAATTCGAGAAATAATTTGTAATTCAAATTATTGCGTTTATAATTCGAATATGTCTAGTTGAATTGAATTTCAATCCAGTTATAAATTGAGAATTCTATTTGTAATTCGAATAATTCCATTTGCAGTTCGAATAAAACTAAATAGAATTGCAGTTGGAATTCTCAATTTAAAAAAGGAAATTATTTGAATTACAGACATATTTCTTAACTTACAAATAAAATGTTACGAATTAAAACTAAAATAATTCGCTTTACAACTGAAAAGGTGTAGTATAACGAACAAAAAGATATTTGTATGTTGTTTTTATCTGCAATGCATTTGCGGTATTAATATAATTATATAATTTGTAAATATCAAATTGCTTGAGAAAAGTGATTTTTAAATATAAAAAGCTGACAACAGTGATGCAACAGCTGTTATTTCTCACTGTTTTCTCATACAAAACCATTGCAAGGTCAAATAAATGTTTACTCTAAATAGAGGAAAATATTTGATTACAGGTGTTCACATTGTGGCCACATTGATCAAAATTTTCTTTGCAGGCAAATAACTTTGTTTTCTCGAAATCAGCTGTTTTTGTGTTTGCCCTACAAAAATATTTTGTGGTCAGATTGTGGCAAAGAAATATTTGAACTTTTTCGTCAAATATTTGCCCAATGTGACCTTACCTTAAGTGATTTTAAAAACAACCAAGTTCATAACTTTTCACAAAAGTACAGCAACAAATAAAGTCGATCCAGACATTTTATGTAAGTGGAGATTTCAATTATAAAAAAATTGGGAGATTATCGCTTTAGAAGAAAGAAAACAAATCTTTACAAATTATTACAAATGGCACTTGGGGCATCAGTATCATAGAGGGACTCCCATCTCATAAAATTCGTGAGTAAAGTTAACATTTTAGTATTTTTTCCGTGGATAGTTTGATTTAAGAAGAAAAAAAACCTCCATGGATAGTATGTTCAAAACTATATCTATGTTTTTTTTAGGGATTTATTTTTGCAAATTCGGTACAAATGAAATGAATTCTCTAGTAAACTGTACTTCGTACATACTAAGCAATATTTTAACCAATACATAACCTGACTATTGCACTTCCACAATCATCAGGTCAATTTTCAGTAAAGAATACATTGGGATAGTAAAATTCCGCTAATGGGACCCAGGGCGTATACAACTCACTCCGGGATTGCGGACTGTTCAGATCCTTTTCTAGAAAAAAGAAACGCATCAACTATAGTCAACCCCTGAACACTGTATTTGTTGCAGTGGTACCAACCTCCCTCTCTGAGCATCCAATTAAAATATAGTCATGGACCCATATTGATTGTTTTTTGCGAAAAAGATCAAAGCTAATTTTAGTGCCAACCTTGCTTTCCAAAATACTCCAGACGCAATAGCCCAACGGATTGGTATCCGGAGATTTTGGTGGCCATTGTGAGCTGGAAATTAAGCGAGGAACCTCATTTTGTAACCATTCTTGGTTGGCGCGTGCTGAGTACGATGGTGCTGAGTCCTGTTGGAATGTCCAAGGTCTGCGGCCAAAGGCTTTTATACACCCTCCAGAATATTTTCGCGATAATATTCGGCATTTCTTCTGATGCCACGGTCGATTAATACTGGCGGAGAGCGACCATCTGCTGTTATGGCTGCCCACACCATCGCCATGGCCGACGCTTGAGTTCTGGTGGCCAACCGAAGGTGCACATTTTCAGCTGACCTCATTTTGTTTGTTTACAACCAGCTGGACAACGAATGTTTTCTCATCGGAGAATACCAAATTCGCCAGTTCACCACTTTCGGCCAAGCGAAGCCTAACTTTAGCTCTTTTTAGTCTATTTTATTTCTGTCGCGGTTTTAGTTCTTGAACTTTTTGGAATTTCAATGGCTTTATCCCGAGCTCATTTTTCAATATTTGCCGAATGGAATATTGCGATATGTTCAGCTCACGAGCCATTTTTCGGCCACTCCGGCGTGGGTTTCGATCAAGTCGAACTTTTCGAACCATTTCTGCTGACTTTGCTGTTTTCTTCCGTCCACTTCCTTGACGACGGGCTACGCTACCAGTATCACGGTAACGAGCGATGGGGCGAGACACAAAAGATTTATTCACATTTGAATGCTCGAGTGCTCTAACGATAGCTTGTAAACAATATAATGAGCTGTCACTGGAAAAATTTTAACAGCTGTCGGACGAGTGGCTTAGAAATGACAGCAGTCTGAAATTGGTTGGAGTTTTTTTTTTATCTCACCCTGTATATTTAAAATTTAAGCAGTGGACCGACATAAAGACTGTCCCAACTTGAGCGCAATCGTGAAATCGGTATCGTGAAATGATTACTAGTTTTTTCCTCATGAAATTAATGTGGAGGACATATGGTTTCATCATTAATTTCCCGGTCGTGCTATTTCGCTTTTTGGAGACCAGAATTGATCGCCTACATCGTGAGATTTAACACGTTTGGTTTTTTTTTTATAGAAGTCGATGGTTTACGCTAATAAACCGACGACGACTCAAGTATTAAAATATAACATTGGACGCTGCATTAATGAAATAACGCAGCATTTATGCCAATGGGTCATTGAAAATTTCATCAAAAGATCGCGTGTGTGCTGGCAAAACGAGGCGGCCATCAGAATTACGTTCGAGTTGAAACCCCCATATATTTTATCTTCAATCTAGGTTTAGTGTTGGTAAAAAATACTGCAATGTGGGAATCATTTCACTTTCTATATTATATTAACTCTTTGTGAGAGAGGTTTCAGAAGACGTGAACGGTCATCATACCATTTCACATCTGACTAGAGTCTTATGCAAATTTTACGATTTCCAAACCAAAATGTCTACTTTTATCGCCTTTTGGGTGGTACATAAATTTTTTGTGTGTTTGAAAATTTTGACCGTTTCGACTCCAAGAGTTATTTAATTTTCTTAAAATATCGAATTCTAAACTAATTAGCAATAGTAAATGTATGTATATGAGACAATAAAAAGGACATGATTCAAAAAACTAAAACTAGTTTTAATTCCTCCTGGAACGAATAGTTTTGTTGTAGTTGAATCAGTATTGAAGTATAAAGTTCATGAGGCAGATTTTAGTGGTACAGCGGCAGACCAAGTAGACGAAGATCATAAACAACCAAGCCCAACGGACATTTGGGTAATTCATACTCTTAGTCATACTAGAAACATTTTTCTTCAGATATTTTTTTAGAGTTTCACATTTCTTAAAGTTTCACATCTCTCTTTAAACTTACCACCACCTACAATGCTCAAGAGAACACAAAACCAACCATCATTATTAGACAATCTATTGCCAACAATTTATATTCATATTTGTTATTCATGGTACATGGGCTTGGTAAATATTTTCCATAATGTTTTATTAGCATATGACAACTTGTAAAACACTGGCTGCCCTTTTTCCATTTTTGGGGAAATCTCACAGCACAGCACCCAAACGCCGAGCGCCACGACAAGCACGCACTCTTGACTACAGCCAAACGCACAGAGGACCAATGGAAAAGGGTCACAGCTACCCGAAATTCCACTGAAATCAAGATTGGTTGGTACATTTGTTGAACATATTCAAATACATAAAAGAAATATTCATTTCATTGATGTCCTCCGAAAGCAATCAACACAACATAATAATCGCAAATAGATACAGACGCCACACACACACTCCCGCAACATATACTGACAAAACACGCACACACACACATTCAAAGATTCATAGATACGTGGTGTGTTCCATCCAGCCATTCGATGAAAATGGTGGCAAAGGATTTTCGATTCAAATATTTTTTTCGTAGTTTTTTTTTTATTTTATTATGAACTGAAACAAATTAAGGCTGTGATAAGACTACTACAGACGGCAGCCATTGCTGCTATTGATATTTGGGCAAATCGACAATCCGGCATGAACTACACACACCCACTTAAGCCAGGGTCTTAGTTGTCAGATGTTGTCACTGCCAAGAGTATTTGTGCTTTGACAGAGGGTCTCTCTATGCGAATGCAAATAGTTCAAAGTTCAATATAAAGGCAAAGACGAATTTCAATTTCTAAAAGTGAAACAAAACATCGAAAAAAAAAACACAGAGTTCAGCAAATTGAGGGTGCTGCGTAAAAGGAAGATTGTACTTGAAAAACACTTGGTAGCTGGCGTGAGTATTGATATTTGAAAATACTCAGTTATTTCCAGTCATCAAAAAATTGTGGAATATCGAAAAAATGTCACACACTATCGACTGCTATTGGTTGGCATAATCGGAGCTAGATGATGTGTAGAAAAAAACTTAAGATCCAAAGCTTCAACAGATTTTTCGTATACAAGGTTTCCAGGGATAACGTAAAATATTATAAAAAATGGGAGAGTAGTCAAGTTCGGTGGATATTTAATACTTTATACCAATATGGGAAAAAAGTTTTCGAATAACGACGATAGTGCCATTAGAATTGAATATAATTTTTGATGAACAAAAGGGAGAATAAAGCTTTTGTAGAACATATCATATTTCATATACAATTCCGTGTGGCGTAAACCTTCGATGTACCCAATAGGGGGAGGCATCGTTAAAACGAGTACTATAGTGACCATTTTCCTTTAGACGACTAGATTTTAGACCATTTCGTTTAAGACAGTGACAAATCGAATATTGTAGGCTATACAAAATGGACGACTATAAAGACTATAAATTTTATGCCTGTGGGGTTGGAACACATTCACGAATTGCTCTTAAGAAATTGTGAACAATTATTTGACAAATATCGCTAAAAACATTAAATACAAGCTGCTGTTGTTAGAGCACAACAGCATTAAAATGTGATTAAATCTTTTGGGCCTCGTACCATAGCTCTTTGCCGTGATTCTGGTAGCGTAGCAAACATCAAGGAAGTGGACTGAAGAAAACAGCAACATCAACAATGGTTCGAAAAGTAAAGAAGCGACTTGATCGAAACCCGCGTCGCAGTGGCCGAAAAATGGCTAGTAAGCTGAATATATCGCAATATTCCATTCGGCAAATTTTTAAAAATGAACTCGGGGTAAAGCCATTGAAATTACAAAAAGTGCAAGAACTTACACAGCAACGTAAAGAAACAGACTCAAAAGAGCTAAAGATTTGCTTCGTTTGGCCGAAAGTGGTGAACTGCTGAATTTGGTTTTCTCCGATGAGAAAACATTCGTTATCCAGCAGTTTGTAAAAAAAATATTATCGCGAAAATATTCTGAAGGATATATTTAAGCCTTGGGCACACAAACATTTTGGCCACAGACCTTGGACATTCCAACAGGACTCAGCACCATCGCACTCAGCACGCGCCACCCAAGAATGGTTTCTAAATGAGGTTCCTCGCTTCATTTCCAGCTCACAATGGCCACCAAAATCTCCGGATACCAATCCGTTGGAGCATTGTGTCTGGAGTATTTTAGAAAGCAGGGTTGGCACTAAAAAAATAACAAAGTGTCGATCATCTCAAACAAGCCCTTCGCCGGGAATGGGTCAAAAAACCGCAGAGCAACATTCGGACAGCGTGTGATGGTTTCATTGGCCGTTTGAAGGCCATAATTCGTTCCAAAGGTGACCAATTCGAACAAATCTAAACTTATTCTAAAATTTGA